TCACCTCATCCTCCCAAAGTGCTGGGATTATAGGCATGAGCCACCGCACCTGGCTTACGCAATATTTTCAAACACTGCAGTGAAAAAATAAGCTGGCTGGGTGCGGTGACTCAAGTCTGTAATCCCAGCACTTTGGCAGACCAAGGTGGAAGGACTGCTTGAGCCAGGAGTTCAAGAACAGCTTGGGTAACATATCGAGACCCCGTTGCTACAAAAAATAAAAAAAATTAACTGGGCATGGTGGGCATGCCTATAGTCCCAGTTACTCCAGAGGCTGAGGTGGAAGCACTGCCTGAGCCCAGGAGGTTGAGGCTTCAGTGAGCTGTGATGATGCCACTGCACTCTAGCTAGCCTGGCTGGCAGAGTGAGACCTTGACCCAAAAGAAAAAAGAAAGAAAGATAAATAAGGTGGCAAGAGGCTCCTGTTCTTTCTTACTCCACTCCCAGGCAGATGCCCTCAGTATTTCACCATGTAATCTGCTTAACAAAATGCAGACTGTGGAGACTAGTTATAGGTGCATAGCCCTTCTCTTGAATGTAGCCCTTCAAGTCTGGCAGAAGAGGAACTCCACAGGGATTGACTTAATCCCTGAGACTTCTCATCTGGGGGAAAACAATAACACTTCAGCAAAGGCAAATGTGTAAACAACTAATGACAACCCATAAATGTCTAAACAATTAATGATAACATTTGCATGATGTTTACAGCTGACCTAGCTATTCCACAGGCCATGGTAGATTTATTAATATACCTTTCAGTATTTCTGAAAATCAGGTGGTATTATGTCCATTTTACACATGAGAAAACTGACTTAACAGAAGTTTTAAAAATCTCATAGCTAAGTAAGGCCCGAGACGGATTTGCACCTGGACTGAAGAGCTCTGCTGGTTTTGTACATCTACAGTAGTAACAAGACCCTAAGAGCCAATAATCCCTTCCTCTCCCAGGTGACAAAAACCGCTTGTAGTTTCCCCAGCAGCCTGCAGGGCCGCGCCCCCCACAAAAGTATACATTTTTAAGAAAAGAAAAAACAGGGCTCGGTGGCTCAGCCTGTAATCCCGTGCCTTTGGGAGGCTGAGGTGAGTGGATTGCCTGAGCCTGAGGGTTCGAGACCCGCCTGGGCAAACTGGCAAGACCTTATCTCTACAACAAATCAAAAATTAGCCGGGTGTGGTAGCGTGCACCTGTAGTTCCAGCTACTTGGAAGGCTGAGGCAGAAGGATCGCTGGAGCCCAACAGGTCGAGGCTGCAGTGACCCCGGCCACTGCACTCCAGTCTGGGCGACAGAGTGAAACTCCAACTCAAAAAAAAAAGAAAAGCTAGTAAAATTATTATTATTTGAGTCGAGAGTCTCATTCTGTTGCCCAGGCTGGAGTGCAGAGGCATGCTCGTGGCCACTGCAGCCTTAATCTGCTGAGCTCAGGTGATCATTCTGCCTCAGCCTTCCAAGTAGCTGGAACTACAGGCGTGGGCCACCATGCCTGGCTAATTTTATGATTTTTATTGTAGAGATAAGGTGTCGCCATGTTGCTCAGGCTGGTCTCAAACCCCTGAGCTCTCTTTCGCGTCTGCCTCTCAAAGTGCTGGGATTACAGGCGTGAGACAGCGTGCCCGGCTAACTATTAAGATTGTAATACTAAAGATATACTGATAACAAGAGATAAACACAAGTCACGCTTGACTTCTGCAATTACAAGAGGTGCTCAAAGTGGTTACTATCAGCGTCCAAACACTTCTGCTTATGGCGAACTTCTCTTAAAATGTGTATACTTTTTTGGGTTTTGGCACCCCAAATATATCTATATATCGATATCTATGTATATAGTTATAGATATATAGTAGAGATGTGGTCTTGCTATGTTCTCCAGGCTGGTCTTGAACTCCTGGCCTCAAGCAATCCTCCCGCCTCGGCCTCCCAAAGTGCTGGGATTACAGGTGCGAGCCACCACGCCCAGCCCGCCCCTTCTTACTGGCGGCGCCCTCGTAGATCTTGGGGTTCGAGCCGCGCCTCAGGAACTCCACCGCAATCCGCCCAAACTCGGCGACCACTGCAAGGAAAGTGAGAAGGCTGAGAGCGCCGGGCGCTCCCTTTGGCCCCCTTCCCAGCCCGCAGAACACCGCCCCGCGACCCCTGACCCGCACTGTCCACTTGCGGCAGGAAAGCCAGATGTTCCTTGTGCTCCTCGGACAAATCCAGCAGCATCTTCGCTGCGCGGCGAGTCCACCGGGAGGCGCTGACCCCGCCCTCGCCACTTCCGGCGCCCGTGTCCAGGCGCCTACAGTCTCCGGCGCGGCCGCGAGCGGAGCTTTGAGTTCCGGCCTGTAGACATTCTGCACTCGAACGCCCCCTGCGGCGAACGCCGAGGTCGGACGATTCTTCCATCTCTAAGTCATCCCGCAAAGGTGTCGTGAGTGCTTGCGGGTGCACGGTTCCTGGCTCTATAGAAGAAAAGCTGCTTAAAATCCGACATGCCCTCTCGTGGAACACACATTAATAACATCAATAGCTAACATTTGTTAGCACTGTGTCAGGAACTGTTCTTAGATTTTAATTCATTTAGCGTTCACAAGAACCCAGTGCGGTAGGTTCCATTATTATTTCCATCAGAAATAAGGAAACTTAGAGACAAGAGAAGCAACTGAAGCGTTTACAGGCCTAATAGTTTGCAGAGAACTTTTGCAGGGGTTGAGACAACTCTTTCCATACTCTGAATCTCCTGAACAGGACTGTGAAAATTGGAAGTGTTTTTCAGCTCACTTCTCTGTGTCTGTCTGGTCCTTCACGTCTGACTGTAATTGTTTGTTTCTTCCACTTGGGCATAGGGAGACAGATTCTTGAACTTGTTAGTTAGGTCTTGAAGTAGCATTTGTGGAGAGAGCAGTTTTTACTTAGACTGTAAATTGTAGATCAGTAAAAATAGCATAATTCCTTCAAGTTACTTTTATTCATACATTATTGAGAAAATGTCCATTATTAAAGAATAATTTTCAGGAAAGGTAAAGTCATGATTCTTCTACAAATATATAATGACCGCGTGTCAAAATTGTATTGAACTCATTAGTTAATGAAGGAATTCGTGAGATTACAGTAAAAACCAGTTTCAACAGATTCAAGAGAGATATTCAAGAACGGTACGTGTATAAGAAGGAATGCTGAAACGAATTTACAGATAGATACACTAGTATGCCAGTATGCAATCGCTTTCTTCTCTGTGAGCTCAGGGACTGAAATGGTAACAGGGAGGTGTAGGTGAAAATAGAAAGTAGCACAATGAGATGTCCAAAGACCCGGTGAAGAAACCAAGTTAGCCAGGTGTGGTGGTTTAAGTCTGTAATCCCAGCACTTTGGTAGGCAGAGGGGAGAGGATTGCCTGAGCTCAGGGGTTCAACACCAGCCTGGGCAACTTGGTGAGACCTCGTCTCTACAATAAATCAAAAAATAAGACGGGCGTGGTGGCCCAGCTATTTGACAGGCTGAAGTGGAAGGATCGCCGGAGCTCAGCAGGTCGAGGCTGCGGTGACCATGAGTGTGCCACTGCACTCCAGCCTGGGCGACAGGGTGAGACTCCACTCAAAAAAAAAAAGAAAAGAAAAAAGAAACTAAGTTATAGCCAGGGAAAACCAGCCTGGGAGTTAAATTCTCCAGGGTAATTTATAGAGTGACTTTTATTACTAAAGGCCACGTGGTTGCTTAGAGAAAATTACCTGAGTGAAAAATCAAAAGTCTAGATTCCAGATCTAGACTTTTACACTGCCTGTATAGCCTCTAACAAGTTGTTTTTACATAGAAGTTTAGTCTATTCATCTATAAAATGGCTATTTTCATGATGATTGCGCTTCTGTGCCATGCAGGGCTGTGAGAATGTTCAGATGAGGCAGCGTTCGGCGGTTGCGCGGATCTGTCTCTTGCTTCAACAGTGTTTGGACGGAACAGGCCCGGGGACTCCCTGTCTTCCAGCCTCCCACTGCCCTCCGATCTCCTCTCCACTTGCAATCTCCGAGACCACCTTCTCGGCCACCTCCTGTTTCTGGGACCAGCGACCACCGTTTCTGCGGTTAGCTCCTTCTTGCCCACCATGAGCTCCCAGGTTCGCCAGAATTATTCCACCGAGGTGGAGGCAGCCGTCCACCGCCTGGTCAGTTTGCATCTGCGGGCCTCTTACACCTACCTCTCTCTGGCCTTCTTTTTAAATTTTTTTTTTGAGTTGGAGTCTCACTCTGTCACCCAGACTGGAGTGCAGTGGCCGCTCCCGGCCACCG